CAGGTGTGCTGGAAGAAGTGCAAAAACATGGTGCCATTGACCTACATCAGAGAAAACACATCAGGGAGGCAACCCACAAGGAACTTTCAAAGTATGATGAATATGGCCCTATGTTCTGTGAGGTTGCCTTGGAAGGTGAGCAACCATGCGCAGCTACCATTGTCAATTTGCATGCTCTACTGTTTGCAGCTTTTGGACAAGGAGGTGGGTTCTACAAGTTGCTGAAGGACACCATGCAAAAGACACCTCCTACACCACATTCACCATACCAGCTGATTCTCTATTCAGATGAGGTGGTGCCAGGTAATGTATTATCAGCTGACAACAGGCGCAAGTGCTGGCTTGTCTATGCATCTATTGCACAGTTTGGATCTGAAGTCTTAAGCCAGGAATGTGCATGGCTGACTCTGGCATGTTGCAGGTCATCCTTTCTGACACACTGTTTTGCTGGGATTGGACAATTGATGAAAGCAATCATCAAAAAAAAATCAGAATGCTATGTGTGATCTTCAAGAAGGAGGGATTTTATTGAAAGGTCCTGATGGAGACCATTGCAGGATCTGGATTCAACTGGGGTGTCTTGTGCAAGATGGGGCAGCACATAGGGCAGTGTTTTCTGTGAAGGGCGACAGTGGTACCAGGTGCTGCCTGCTATGCAGAAACATTATCTCCAAAAGGTCAAAGCTGACAAATGAAGAAGGAGGAGAAATTTTACTTACAGATAATGTGAAGGAGGCAGATTGTGTGTTCACTTCTGACAATGACATTTGGAATTCAATCCGAAGGCTGAGAACCAACTATGGCATTATGTGTCTGGGTTTATGGGCTTACTTTTTGTTATGGTGTGGTTTTGTATTGGGTGAAGGTCCCTATATATGCCATGTTGGGGTTTGCTGCTTGTGCCACTGGCCTAGGTCCAAAGCTGACTTCAATCTTTGGCAGCAAGCAAGTGGCATGAATTACCAGCCACATGGGCTTCTATTTGATGATTCTTTGCACACTTCTCCAAGACCTATTCTCAAGCCTGCAAGCCAGTTCATGCATGATTGGATGCATTTGATGTGTGTGGGTGGTGTTTGTCAAACAACTATTTACCTCTTTCTTGAAGGTGCTGGCAAAAAAACTGGACAGAACCTGTACCCCATGATTGCAGGGTACATGGCTTTGTGGACATTGCCACAATCCAAGTCTATCAATTTACAAAGCTTATTCAGCACCAAACGACAGAAATCAAACAAAGAAGCTCAGACCTTCAAGTGCAATGCTTCTGAAGTGCTGGCACTCATGCCAATTTTGGCGATGTTTGTTCTCACTGTCATTTTGAAATCTGGCCATTGTGACAAAGAATGTCAAGCTTTACTTGCAGTTGCAGACTTGCTGGGGCTTTTACAAGCCATTCCTCATGGATGCACATCCCCTCAAAACATCAGGAGCAAGGTCAGTCAGATCCAGGACAAGTATGAAGAATGTGGCTGGAGCGAGTGGATGCACAGCAAATTCCACTGGTTGGTGCATTTGGGGTCACACCTCGAGAGATTCTCTCTATTGGTGAGCTGCTGGGTGCATGAAAGGAAGCATCGAATTGTCAAGAGGTATTCCCAAGATATTCAAAACACCAGAAACTATGAAAAGCATGTCTTGGTGCAAGTTGTGGCTCATGACTTGGCTCTTTTGCTTGATGAAGATTACTTTGGGCAACATGCCAGGTTAAAAAAAAAGTGCAAAGCAACAAAGAAGGTAAACAACCTCTTTGCACAAATGTGGGGGGAGACTATTGAGTCCTGCTATATGTGTGTTTGTGCACATCTGTCTCCTTCTGGATTGGCCAACAAGAAAGATGTGGTAATGCTGAAATCAACAAAACAAATTTGTGAAGTGTGGCTTTTTGCTGAAGTCAATGGGGAGAATGTAGCTTTGCTATCTTTTTGGGATGTCATGGAAAAACATGTTTCACATTGGGTTTGCAAAACGCAAGATAACCCACAGTTTGTCAGCACTTCTGAGATCAAATGTTCTCTGTTTCACAGAGGCCTGAAAAATGGCCAGGTCATGGTGCTACTGCCAGTGGAATGCAGGTGAAAAACCCACTTGCAGTTGTTGTTTGCTTCCCTTGCAGTGTTTGTTTTTCTGGATTGTGTGATTGCATGGTTTCTATGCTGGTCAGCCACATTGGCTACACACTGCTTGCTGATGCACCATGGAATCTTAAAAAACACATTGTGAAAATTGAAAAAATATTTGTTTTTTTCGAAAACAACATGAAAACAAATTGATTTTTTTCTTCAAAAAATGCTATTGTCTATACATTAGCTGCTTTGCTAAACCCTTAGCCAAGTTGGCTAACCCTTTGGCTAAACCCTTAGCTAAATGGTTAACTTAACCCTTTAGCTAAGGGTTTAGCTAAGTCATTAGCCTATCTAGCAAACAATGTAAAATGATTAGCTAAGTCCTACAACTTCTGTAAAACATTGTAAAACTTAGCAACCCCGCGGGCCATCCAAGTACTACTACTACTACTACTACTACTACGACTACGACTACGACTACGACTACGACTACGACTACGACTACGACTAGTACGACTAGTACTACTAGTACTACTAGTACTACTAGTACTACTGCTGCTGGTACTACTGTGAGTTTTCCGGACCGTTTCCGGACCGCGCGAGCTTATTTTGTTCCCAAATTTGAAATCGAATGCGTTCACGCATGGATCCTCATTATATAATACATAACTTATATTTTATGTATATGATCTGATCAACGAAGAACAAACCCTTCCGCGATTGCTCACTGTGGTACCGCGGTTGCTACGCGATTGGCTGAGCGATTGAGGGCTGTCCGGGAAAAGGTATTTTGGACAACCCCCATATAGACCTGCAACTTCCAATGCATGCAAAATTTCCGCTCTTTCAGAAATTATTGCTGGCGGCGATAATTTTTGTCTGCGAGCGATTCTTGGATTTTGGTGTTTTTTCAACATTTCAGTGCATTTGGTGCTCCTTTGCACCCTTGATCGGGTATCCATTGCCCTCAAATCAACAAAAGCATGAAAGATTGGGACCTTAGAGAATGAGTTACACCATTTGAATCAGAAAGAATGATAACTACAGCCTATGCACTTGAAATCCTACAAGTGTTCGTCACCATTTTAAGAATGCACTGAAGCGCTTCCCTGGCCCATGCCCTCATCGTCTTCGAAGTCATCGCTGTTTCCAGCCTTGGTCGAGCCGGCATGATTTAGGTTTCGTTCTTTAGGCAGTGACATTGAAACCCACTGGGGTGAACTAGAAATGTTTTCTTATACTTCAACCTCCTATCATCAGGTTGCTCTGGCTTCAAGTTTCATTCCCTGCCCCATTACCTCATCTGAGATCTTCCCCCCATGGCCAACACCATTCCGGGTTCCCTAGCTGACAAATGGGAGAGCGATGGTGTCATTCGAGCAAGGGTTCGATCACTTGGACAACTCTGTAAGTGGCCGAAGCCAGCACTTGTTGGGATTCCTTCGGGTGTATCTACTTCGTTGAATGCAGAGACCCTTTACCACATGGCAAAGTGGTGGTCGGCCGCTGTAGAGCTGCCCCAAGCAATTCCAGTGGCTCTGCTTCGGGCGGAGGCTACGTGAAATCCCCAACACACAACCATGCCATAGAACATAATTTTTTGGAGCCCATCAGAAGGGGAATTCAAACCAACAAATCACATAGATTCAAGTTAAACCATGATAAAACCATTTGTGGATTGCTGTGGCACCCTGTGAAGGTGACAGAGTTTCGTCGGCTCTTTGACTTGGACTCCAACCCGTGCATCGCACATTGTGATGCTTGGGGGTTGAAGCGTCTATTTTCTTATGCGCTTCGCCGTTGGTTGGCAGGAGGGCAGACCCCCAGAGACCCTTGGCCCTTTTGAGGGGACAGTAATTATTTTGGGGGGCCACCACAAAATTAAATACAAGATAGTACAAGATAGTTATAGTATAATACTGGTGATGCTAAACCAACTTAGTTATAGTATAATACTGGTGATGCTAAATCAACCTAGGATTTGCGCTTAAAGCCCTTCTGGGATACCCTGGACAAGAATTGGGGACCCGGTGGTGGTGGCAACGGCGGTGCTGCTCCTCCCTTGGTTGATTTGGAGGATCCTGAAGATGCGTCCCATGCCAGCGCAGTGGCAGATGATGATGATTATCCAACGGCTGATGGAGATGACTCAGTGGTGGTTGATGAAGGGGTCCCTGACACATTGGTTGATGATGTGGCTCCCCATGATTCTCAAATGCTCGAGACTATGGAAGATTCCCAAGTTCCTCCCCATTGGCTTGAAGATGAAGCCTATGCGGCTGCAATGGCCGAACCCGTCCCAGGGCTGGAACCGACTGGTACTGAGGTTCCTGGCACTGGGTCTTCTCGAGGTGAAGCCGCTTCGGAAGCCGCTGCCTGTGGCAATGGCGACGTCGATGAGACAGAGAACTTGAAGCAGGAGGTTAGCACACTGCGCCAAGATCTCTTGGACAAGATCGGAAAACTCAAGCGGGGCTAGACCAAAGACTAAAGGGTGACCCAAAACATGATATTTATAATGGGACAATTGGAATGTCATAAGTTACATAAGTTATAAATATATAAATCATGTTCATTCACCTCCCCTGTAAGCAAGAACCTATTATAATATATAATATTATGGTGGGTTTTATAGTAAGGGTATTGGATTATCCCAGATGGTGCATATGTGTGCGAATGTTATTCTAATCACTGGCTTTGACCTGGCTACCCCTGAGGGCTTTGATCGCAACCAAGAAGTTGGAGCAAGAACATAAGGCCAAAACTCTGGGACCTTTGCCTGCATTCAATCAAAGAAAAAAAATTGTATGGCAAATCTACCCCGAAACTTAGCAGCTTCTCTGGTTGTAAAGCGGCCAAAAAAATGTTATAAGTTATAATTTGGAACCCTTTTTCTTTTGTGGGGAAACCTCAGGAGGTTCCGCCGTGGACAGCATGCAGACGCTGCCCATGCACTTGGACGAAGCTGCTTCGCAGCTGCTTTCTGCGGGCAGTGCAGCCCATGGGGATGTCATTGACTTGGAGGGGGAAGATCACAACGTTTCCTCTTCCGCTGGTGTTTCCCAGGACCCTGTCTCTCTCATATTGCAATGGTTTTCAATCTAGAACTGCATTCAATCGTTTTTGCTTTTCTGGCATTGTCTGGCCTTAACCTAACAGAGCAGTACCCAAACCAGCACAGTACCAGGTTAAACCTGGACCTGTTAACTTGCTCCAGGACTTGGCCAAGGAGAAGAAGATTTCTGAACCGGAACCACCGAAGGTCACTTTGCAGGACCACAAGGACTTGGGCACAAAGGGCACAGAGATCAAGGAACCTGACCAGGGCAACAAACCGGAGACACGCAGAGCTTTGAAGAGGGCATCCACAGTTATCCATGGCGAGTGCACCAAGCCGAACAAAGATATCAAGGTGGAAACCCCCACTGCACCAGCGCCGGCTCCCAATGCAGATGTGGTTGGCTTGATGGCATGCGAGGCATCCTGGTGGGGAGGGGTTCAACCCCAAAAGCAATCTTTGGTCACAGACTACTGGAAATTCTAGACGACTTTTAACCTCCCAACTCCCACCTTGAAAACAATTTTCCACCCTTTGGCCCTGTTGTCATTTGTGGTCAGGCACCGGTGACACTTCGACGTGAACAGCTCCAAGCAGATTTTCGCCGAGGCGAGGATGACGATGGAGAGGCAGAGGAGGCAGCGGAGGGAGATTACAAGTCCGATCATGGTGATGAGGGCGATGAGGGTCAAAAGGGTCCGAAGGCAAAGGCAAAGGCTAAGGCAAAGCCACAGAGCAAGGCCAAGGCGAAAGCTAAGGCCAAGGCAAAGGCAGTGGCACAGAAGGCAAAGGCAAAGGCAAAGGCAAAGGCATCTTCGACGAAGGCAAAGGCAAAGGCTGGCAAAGAGGTGGGCAACTCCAAGGGGGATGGCAATGGTTGTGACCCCGCTTCTGAGCAAGACACTGAGAACAAGAAGAAGAAAGCTGCAACCTTCGCCCGCCGCTACAAGCCTACTCACCCTGATGGAGCTGCGCGCTACCAAGCCATCAAGGATTGCTTTGTGCAGCGCATTGCTTCCCAGCTCAAGGCCCAGTCGACTTTCCAGGACTATTGTGGGCGAAAAAATGGGCATACTTTACCACAAAGTGGGGTTGATGCAGCCATATGTTTTTAAGATCTGCCTAGTTCAGGGCAAATCCACCCTTGAATTATGTGATTGGAACATCCCGCAACAGGATCCATGGTGGGCGCATTGCATTGGAGCTTTGAACGCTTCCAAAGCGACTACTTATTTGGAGTACTTTGCCATTGCGGATGGTCAGGTCGATTCCTTTCTGGCGAATGATGCAGTGCGCAACTAGCCTTCAACACCCATAGTGGCATAACCACAGCCCACGTTTCAAACAGTCTTCAAAATAGGGGGCATTACCACAAGCCATTTTTACTTTTCAAAGTTTCAATAGCTATTGGAAAAAAGCAAGATACAAGCCTGGTCTGCTTTTATGTTTTGGTTGTCACATCAGCCCAGGCAAGGCCATGAAGCCGAGGGCAACCTAGTGGCCTGAATGAATGAGATGAACCAGGGCCAAATCTGGGCAGGGCTTGCGGGCGCAGTATGCAAAGCATACATGGGTGTGCGCTTGCATTAATCCTTGTTTGGTTAGTGTTGGCCTCAATCCATTTCCATGGCCGGAACTTTTGTACTTGGTGGCTCCCCACAGAAGTTGTAAACCAAATAGTAGATTAATGTCAGCCATACACATTTTTTGGCAGTGTGTCCCACCTTACTTTGGGGGAATCAGCCATCTTGAGAAGTTTACATTACATGATGGTATCGGAGGGCGGCGATCCATGCGGCCCTGCCCCATGCCTCAGCTGGCGTGGAGCACCAGTCCTTGGCAGAGCAGCAGATCAGTGAAAAACATAGGGTACCATTTGTGGTTTCACTGTCTATCTCAAAGGTACTTGGGGTTAAGTGACCCGCCCTTATGCCAGGTATGCCGGATGCCTGACGCATTAGGACCGAAATTTCTTTGATGTTTTTTCCCCATCACATATTATCCCAGCAATACTTGCAAATTGGCAGGATGTCGAAGCTTCGGCGAGGCCAAGCTAGCCTTGCAAAATTTGGGTGCCTGAATGGCAAACCTGGCTTGATTGATAATGGCTCTATTGCGATTTTCTGTTTTAGTTTCCAATGCCTCGGCAGAACCCAGCCAAAATCTTCAACTCTGGATTCTGAGGGTTGGGCTCAAAAGCAGTTTGGTATCCATAGCCATCATGACGGTCACAGAACAGAAGCTGGATCTTGCCCTGCGGCGCATGTTGAAGTTGGGGGCACCAGCTGAATCTCGGATCCCATAGGTTGTTCCTTCCACATTTGTTTTTCCAATTGTACTACAGGGATTGAGTGGTAAAGCTAAGGACTTTGTATACCTGGTGTTGATGACTTGGTGGCTACTTTCTTCCCCGTCTACCCCACTACCATGGGATGATACGGCCACCTTTGACCTCATCGAATATTATTCTGGTGTGGGTCGTATTGGGAAGATGGCCCATGGAGTTGGGTATTCCGCTGCTACGTTTGACATAGCCCAAGATATTCCAGGAGAAGGTGAATCAGCCCACTCACAAATGCCCCATCGGTCGGCTTTCGACATGAATGGGGAAGCCGGGTATGTGTTCCCAATCTCAATTAATTAATAAATGGGAAAGCAAAGGTTATATTTCTTATTCCACCCATGGTTTGTTTAAGCTGAATCAAACAGCAAGCCGTGTATTTACTGACGAAAGTTCTTTCCCGCACTACTGAGGTTAGCATTGTTGATGCTTCTCCGTGGGAAAGCACCTGGCCTGGTAACAACCTGGGCAGTTGTTTGCTCATCCTATTCAATTGTCAATGTAGCAACTAGCATGCGCAGTTTGCTGACACCACTTGGAAACGTGTACAACACGAAAGTTATCCGAGGGAATCGAATGGCGGCACGGACCGTGCTGGTCTTTTTATCTGTATTTTGTGTTTCTGTTTGTTTATGACTAGTGTTGAACAATTAGTGGCGGGTAACCAAAAAGGTAATGCTTGAACCCAGCCATGAACCACTTTCCCAATAAATACATTACCATATGGGATCATTTGTATAATCTTAAAAGAAGGGCATACAATAATGGACCCACAATGGAATGGAAGGTTGTTGTTTATTATTGTTGAACTTACCGGGGTAAGTGAATAATGGGTGGGGCCCGCAGGACGGGGCTGATGCTGGTCCTGACCTTCTTACTTGGTGGAATCTGGACGTTGGAAAATCCACTTTCAAGCCTGATTTCCATGCATCCGTGCCTGCAATGGTGTATTCGGGCCATGCGACGTGCTGGTGCTAAAGTGCTCCAGCTTAAGTAGTTGGCAAACCCAAGAGTTTCAAAACAACTATTTACACTGTTTAGGAGTTTCTTTTTGACGTGGGATTATGTTGGCTCCTGCGCTGCTGAGGTCTTCAAAGTGAGCTTCAACATGAAATTCTTTGGGAGTAGCTCTTTAAAGCCAACAATGTTACTGACCAATTCCCGTGTGATTGGTCGCCTACACAGACCAGTTGTATCTCGGGTTGGTGGCAGAAGGCTTTGCAGAAGGTATGTCAATGGCAGAGGGCGCTCAGCCTTCAATGGGACAAAAGCCTTAAAGGCTTCACAGACTCTTGATTGTACTTCCAATTTTGGGGTGTCAAATGGGTAATATTTCGGGTTCTATGAAAATCATGAAATGAATTAGTTTTTAATTTAAACATAAAGAAGTCTATGGTTTCAGGGGCCCTGAAAATCATCTGGCTTTCAACCCCAACAAAACTGAGGACCTATCCCGTTCGCTTTGCCAAGAAAATCGTAAGTCTGATCCCTGCCATGCGTTCTGAAGGTGTCAACCCTCCAATCTTGGATGCCCCTTGCTGAATTATACAAGCATAAAATTTTGCCTATTTGCAAATGGTTTTTGTTGAGAAATCAAATAGGTTTCAAAAGGTTTGCAAAAAAAACCTGCTATGACCACTTGACAACCATCTTCCAGTGGCCAGAGTCACCCAAGCGCCTGCTCCGCTGAGGTGGATACCGAAAGGCCTTTGCAGCACCTGCTCCGAGATGCTGGCTTTACTTCTTGGGGAGAAGCCGGACTGGGACCATGTCTGAGGTATCTGTGGGGATCGAAACCTTTAGTGGTGCCGGACAGCTGGAAATGCTTCAATGCAAAATACAAATTTCCTCTTACTAGGTTCCATGTGCCTTGCTCCCAATGGACGCCCTATTCACAACATGGATGAACAAAAAACCATGCTGTTGTACCAAGTTGCAAGCTCTTTGCAATTTTTTACAAACATTTGCAAATTTTGCAAAAAATTGTAAATTTTGCAAACATTTGCAAAATTTTGCAAATTTTTGCAAAATTTCAATTTTTGAAACGGCGAGAATACCCAACGAAACGGCGAAAATAAAATCGTGATATTTTTTCATCATTTCCATGTTGAAAGAATGGGGATTCCAATCCATATCCAGTTCCAACCAGTACCAAGATGTGGGGCTCCCCACAGTGGTGCAATTTGTAGGCACTGCATGCGAACCAGATGGAAAATGACCGTGCTTACCTTTAAATGTATTGCAAACAGCATGTTGTTTATGGAATTGCTTCTTTCATGGTTGCTACTAGTTGCTACTTGTATTTTCCACATCAAGGGACATGAGCTAGCCGGAACCCTCTTTGTGACCATGGAGCCTGCGAAAAGCAAAGCTTGGTCTTCTGAGACGTTAGTTCGGGGTATTTGTAAAGTCGACCAACAGCCTGATGGAGAACTTCGGGTACCACCCACAGATGATGGACTGGTTCATGAACTTCAGGCTTTCGATGGGGTCATCTTTCTTTTCACCAACGGAATTCCCAATGTATAATTTTGGCATGTACTGTGTCATATCCAATCAAAGGGAAGTCCCAATTTATCATGGTTTAGCCAACCTGCCCTTCAGCCCGTGGCCCTGAGGCCTTGAAAACCGAGCTAGCGGACTTGAACAATGAGGTTGATCAAGCCCTGGATCGGGAGCAGGCTTCGTCTTTGGTTCCAGCAGTAGAACCCCACCAGCCAACAGCTATGGAGGAGGCTGAGACAGTACCGGGAACCCCTAAGTATCAAAGTGATGGTTCTGGTGCTCCAGCTGTGGTCCCCCGTAGTGTCTTTGGCCTTGATGATGCAGGGTACTGGGCTAGTGTTTTCAATCAACATCCTCCCAGCGAAGTTCTGACAGATGCCAAGGGATTGGACGAGGTTATCACAGAAGACCCTGAACCCCAGCAAGCACCACATGAAGGTTCGGGCCAAGGTGAACCAACAGGTGATTCGATTCAAGGTGATGCAAACAATGATGGTATGGAACAGCGCCCTCTTACGCCCCCAGAATGCCTAGTACCATGTCTTGATTAAAATTCATTGTGAGATCCCCTCTTTTAGACACTACTACAGAACTAATCTAGTTTGGGATTTGGGTATGTTTTTGTATTGGTGTTGTTGGTCCTGTGCAATATCTTTTCACACAAAAATCAGCCATGTCCACAAGAGGAATTGGGACCCTCAAAACAACACAATGCCTTATGGATAGTGATTGTTATGCAGGTCTGGTGTTAACTTATATATATATATTATATATAATATTATATATATATAAATAACAAGCCTCTAAACACGGCAGGGCACATCTATAATTGGTTCAATGGCTATGAATGGGAAATCGCCCTAAGGCAGTGGCTGCCACACCGCCAGTTGCCACTCAATCTGGCAAAGCTCCCGCCTCCGAGCCAGCGCGGCCGATGGCCACACCTTGTCGGGGTGCTGGGGCTGGGGCACAGGGTGAGGGTGTGGATATCCCACTCCAGGGTCATGGTGTTGAACCAACTCCTGGGGTGCTGCGTCTATCAGAGAATGCTATCAACCTTCGTGTCCGACGGGTCCTACAGCCCAATTGCAAAGGGGAGTTCAAGGTGTCAGAGAGTATCCGAAAGATGTATACAGACAAAAGGGGTGGCGGCAAGGATAAACTCCTTCAGATATTCCAGAGCTGCGGGTTCGATCCGGACAGGGGTTCTGAGTACAGGATTTTTTGTGGTTTTTGGGGGAAATAACGGATACCTATGTTTTCACCATCAAATCTATGATGTATCATTGTTGACTCGTTGACCTCGTTAAACATACATCATCCTCCATAGGTTTTCCGACCTTGGTTCCCTTTACAGGAGACATTCGTCCAGGAATGTGAAGTTCTTGCAGAGGATTTGGTATCCAATGAACTTCGGATTGAGGGCGAATTTGTGAGCGAAGAGACCATGCTGAACGAATGGGGATGGACCCAGCACTTTGGTTATCAATTCATACTACAGTAAGTCAACCAATTTTGTGTTGGGTGTTTGTGGCAGGGATTTCACAAACCAAAGACCTTACAACAATCTTTAAAACCTTGCATTGCAAAGGGTGAGACCGAAAGGGGTGAAAACTAGTTGGGTGTTTTAAAAAGTCGAATCATTAGATTACCCTAAATGGTAAGGGACATACTTTTTTTAGTGCTCACCCTTTGCAATTCCAATTGGCTTCTGCCACCCATCGCATCCCAGGAAAAGAGTGGATGGTGTGAAGAGCATTGCTGAGAAAGACCCCCTGTCCCTCATGAGGACCTGTGGGCTGCCGGGCTACTTAAGTTGAGTGAAAGACCCTTAGTATTCTTAGTTTCCTGCCAACTCTTTGCAGGAAGGATAGATACGAGAAAGACCTGGTGCTCTACTGGGCTGAAACGGCAGTTAAGGGAAACCACGTGCGCCTTGGTTACTTGGAGGGTGGTCCTTTGAAATTCTGGCACCAATGTTTGATTAGAGGGCTTGGGGCCCACATTTCAACACAAGAATAGATAAGAAATACACATTTATACCCACATTCAAAATGTTTCATTTTGGTACAAGTATGAAGAATCTCGTCCAAATCGTTTATCATGATTGGCTGGCCACCGTCAACCTAAGGCGCACCAGCACAACCGGCTTCAAGCGCAAACTCAAATGGGAGGAGAATGGTGCGGATCTTGGTTCCTTTGCCCGCCCCACCGGCTTGCCCAACTTCGGTGGCGTGCCTTCTTCCAGTGTCAAAGACAAGGAGATCCAGGGGCCTCAGGACAAAGGGTTTGGCAAGAAATTGAAAGTGGAAAGACAGGAGCCGGAAGCCGCAGCCATCTCAGGTCATGGTTGACAAATAAACACAGTTGAGTTTGTAAGGTGTTGAGGCCAGTCCTATCAACATTGTTTGTCAACAAAATCTTTTTCCTTTCCCCTGAAGATGAAGATCAGTCAGATCATGGTTCTGATGTCAGCATTCGGGATGTCAAGAAGGAAAAGGCCCTCGCTATCGAAAAAATTGCCCGAAAGAAAGCTGGCCTTCCAGAGCTTGAGCTGGATGCCCTCCCCAGTTCGATTTGCAACAAGATGATGAGCCTTATCTGTTTTTTAAAGGGCATTGAATCCCTAGATTCCTTCACCAACATTCACGAAAAAAACAATCTTATGGATTAAAGATTTTGGTGTCAGCTGCCAACGCCGTCTAAGGACATGCCTGTCGAAGAGATCCCAGAAGCTCCAAGACGGAATTGACAAGTTAGATTCCGCAGAGAAATTGTCCGGTTTACAAGAACAGACACTGGTCCAATTAAGTGGGTTTCTCAAATATATGAAAGGTCATTGCCTCTTTGTTCCTTGCTCGGCTAACTCCTGTATAAGTCCCCTGAGACCCCAAGCTCTTCCAGGATGAAAATGAAGATCGCGGCTACCATCGGTGACCTGGGCTCCATCAGCGACACCATCGACAAGGAGTACTCGAATGGGGTTGTGAATGGATTCACAGAAGAGCCTAGCCCTTGGTATAATCAATCTTCCAATATTTGTGGGACCTATTTCACCATGACCGGAACAACTCACATGTACCCGACCTAGGTCTGAAGAGTCGATCTTTCAGGCTTACCAAAAAGCCAAAAGAATGCAGAAATCTTAGAACTTTTTATCGTGGGTTCAAATTTTTGCACTACAGGCACTACAGATCTGGTAATCTAGTGCACCTATCTATCGCCCAGGGCCGTTGATGCCTTGAACCTGGAAGTCCGCATGAGGCAGGTCTTTGTTTGGTTATTTCTCAAGGGTTTACGTTTCCTAGCTTCTCGTTGCTTATCCTTGGTCCTTGCTTATCCTTGCTTCCATCTCACAAGCATCGCCTTTTCCAGGCCAATCTTGCCGAAGACTGTGCCTACCAGAGCACCGACCAGATCTACCAGGCGATCCGCTGATGCCAAGGCTAAGGCCCAGGCAAAGGCCCAGGCAAAGGCGGCAGCGGAGCCGGAGAAGCCAAAGCGCAAAGCCGCAGCCAAGAAGCCAGCAAAGTGAATGATGAGTTGTTCCGGTTTTTGCTTATGAATATATATGTTCTGGCAATTACTTTGGTTTGAGTTTGGGGTGTTACTTGTGGCACCAAGCCACAAGGTAGGGGATTCTTGTGCAACAGTTTCTGTGTGAAATCGCAGGAATTGAGGTTGCGACAACATGGGATGAAGACCTTCCTATGCGCTGAAAAATGAAACTAAGAGCATTGGGAAATTCAACATTGAAATTGCAATACATCGCAATACCTTTTCCGTACACATGGTGCCAAGTGAAGCCTATGCCGGGTAACTTCAGCCAGGTGTAACTTCAGAGCCAGAACAGCCTGGGCATTTGATTGAAGCCTATGCTGAAGCTGTGGCTGATGGAGCCGCAACCTTACCTTGACCTGGTACGGGAGCAATGTTCAAAACCCCTTTTGGTTGATCAGCTGTAGGATGTTAAATGTTGGTATATTGTAAGGCTTAAGGGATTACCACCATCCACTCAGAGAAGCCCCGTGAATCAATTGTTATCGAATGACTGGGGGGTTCTAACACTGCCCATGCATAGATTCATAGGTTTATTCATAGTGCACAATTTAAACACTTTATCTGCAATTACTTCACTTAACACTTCACCTGTCTTTGGTTGAAGTCCCAAGGTTCCAGCCGTGGCGACTGAGCGGATTCGCTATGGGGCTTTGTGTGATGCTGCTCAGGAAACCCTTCCAAAAAAGACTAATTCAAATGTGGCCCGAAGTGCTTATCGCATGATGAGACGCGCAGGTATTGCATGGAAAATCCCATCCAGCTTGTTTAGCTACCAAAAACCGGATGGGTCTTTTTTAGATATGAGCTATAACCGGCCAACCGACATTGTGAAGTTTTTGATTGGACATCACCCCTTTGTGCTGTCTGGCGCTGATGATGCACTGCACATGGAATCTGTCTGTGAAGCATTCTGGGGCGCTTACAAGCAGTTTCATGGAAGTCACAAAGTTTTTGAAACACATGGGGACAACCTATCCCATGTTATTCCACTTGCCCTACACGGAGACGAAGGAAAGGGAAAGCGTCGGAGCAGTACTGTTATCGCAAGTTTGGAAGCTGTAGTCGGCATCAAAGGCCGAGAGGACACTTGCCAAAGTTGCCAACCCTCCTACTTGGACTTGTCTGTTTGGGGCGACTGTGAAATTGGAGATCATGCTACAGCAAAGGCTTTGAAAACCAACATGAAGTCACACAGCTACCTGCAGCACTGGCCGCTTTTCATGGTACCAGGGACTCTAAACAAGGAGTTCAAACCCTTGACTTTGAAAATGCTAGAGTTGATTTCTGACGATCTGAAGGAGCTCTTCACAACAGGTGTGGAGGTCCAAAACCAAAGGTGGTTCGTTGGGATAGTTGGAGCAAAGGGGGACCTACGCTGGCATTCCAAACAAGCCCGGCTGACCCGGGGCTATGAAAACAAAAGCACTGTTAGAGACTTAGAATGCTGTCACTGCTGTATGGCAGGGCGTGCTGGGCTACCTGCAGAGGACATCGCTAATGAATCTCCTTGTTGGCTACGCACTATGTGGAGGCAAAGACCGTGGCATCCACAGAACCCCCCAGCTCTGTTTTCGATCCCCTACGATAGCTCCAAACCGGAGATGATGTACAAACATGATGTCTTCCACACCCTGCGTCTTGGATTACACAGAGATTTCGTTGGCTCTGTAGTATTTCTATTCATGAGGTGGGGATTGTTTGGTGGTGGACGTATTGAAGATAAATTGGAATGTGCACACTCGCACTTCAAACTTTGGCAAATTGCTGAGAAGAAATCTGCGTCCCTGCGATCGTTTTCGAAGGCACTCTTTAAGTATACATCTACCAAGAGCTTTCCATGGTTGAATGGCAAGGGCTCTGATGTGACACTTTGCTTAAAGTGGTTGAGCGCGGCTACTTCTGGTTTTTTACATCAAGGTGTTGGAGATGCTGGAAAAAAGAAAGTGATGGAAATCATTTTGAGCTGTTCCAGAACTGCGGTGGCTTTTTTTGATGAGATGAACAACCACGGATTGTTTGTGAATGCTGGTTGCGCTGCAAAAATTTATGAGCTTGGCCACAGCTACTTGAAAGGCTACAACTGGCTGGCGAACTTCGCATTTCAATCTCAGCTCTGCCTATTCTCCATTAAACCAAAGGCTCATTTTTATCGTCACATACTTTTGGAACTCCGTGAGCAGCTCCAAAACAACTCACAAGCTGTGATGAATCCGCTGGCATGGTGTTGCGAGCAGAATGAAGATTTTATTGGCAGAATGTGTACGTTGGGGATGAAGCTGGATTCCCGGGTGGCCACCAAAAGAATTCTAGAATTTTGGGCTGTCAAGGCATCAGTGCTGTTGAAACGGCATTTTCCCAACCGATGATGGTAAGTATGTTTTTTTGTGATGGTTGAACATGATACAAGACAACCATTTTTTTTTGCTGGGTCACTATTTCTGATTCCAAATGTGTTGCTGCCTATCTTGTCCTCATGGTTGGATGTTGTCCCGAAGCCCATGGAAACAACTTGCGGAGAAAGATGATGGAGAGGTCGTTGCGAAACAAGGGTGAGAAACAAGGGCGGGAAGTGTGGAAACCTCAAACGGCAATAATTTTATGAAACGGCGATAACTGAGGGAAACAGCGATAATTGTTGTTGTTTCAAGAAAGCGGCAATAATTTGGCACAGGTGGATTTCTCAGGTATACACATCATTGAATGTCATGATATGTCGATATACAGATACATATATTCTGGAACATACATATGCATATGTAGCTGTGTCTAATGCATGGTTCCATGTTCCATGTTGGGTTTTTGAGTCTGTGTGGGGCTGTACCGTCGGTAGAACAATCACCTTCCCTCAAGACCTCAATGCGTCACCGGCCTGAAGAGATATACCGTGGCAAGTTTGACAACGATTTGTTGTTCTAAGAGCATAAGGTACCCCGCGTAACTGCGAATTTAATGATTTATCATAATTGTCCTTTGTCTATTTTTTGGAGGGGGGAAGGTAATGCCCCATTTTCAGAGACAGCAATATCGACCAAGCATGGAATTGTTTATGCAGACTTTGCAAGTGGTGTAAGTGGTGAAAATTGCAAGAGTTGAAAACTATGCACATATGTATGTGTATATATATAATATGTATATATTTTTATATTATAGCATCCCTAAAATAAATTCATTGTGAAATGATTAGCTACTTTTCTACCTTTTGGGGGATTGCTGTACATAACTGTAAAAGTAGGAGTTGACCGTCGAACGTGGGGATGTGATGCAGATATCATTGGTAAACATAACACGTGATGATCTGGTTAGTTTTAACAAGCGTCCCGGCCCGTTTCCCTTTTAATAGCAGTATGTCGCCTGCTATCCACCTGTAATAATTTATGTTGATCGTGAAATCACCGTTGTTTTTGATCAGAATTGTTCAAATTTGTTGGTGAAGTATGGTAGGGTGTGTTTTTTGTTGGTGACGTATTCGGAGGTTTCGCAGGAACAGGTGGATAGATTAAAACAATGCCTGAGGGGTTCATAGCAACCTTGGGAAGTGTGTCTGTTCACTTCCAACTCCCAGTTGGATAGACCTTTGATGCGGATGGATGGGTAGTTTAGCGCTCCAATCCTTTGCCACAAATGGGAATACCTACATTGATCTACCAACCAGAAAAAAATACTGTAGATATTTTTGCAGGGTGTCTATCTCCCTCATCTTACAGTTTTATGATTATGTCAGATAAAGTAGCCAATGCCAAAATCGCTGCTGAGAGTTTGTCTGAAAATAGAGTATCCCCCAATTTTTTTTGATGGTTTTTCCTTTGCATGATCGCTACTGCCGCTATTGGCCGTTTGGGTGACCGTGTTATATGCTGTCCCCCATTCTCAGACACGCACATTGTTTTTTTCCTGAAGGAGAAATAGCCTTCGGTAATCAAGCGTGGCTAGCTGGGATTTTTTTAGATAATAAATGGAGATGATGTGAATGAGAGAACTATCGAACGAAATGGAGATGTCCAATTGCCATGTTTGAGGACACCGGAGGGTATCATTTTTCCCAAATCTAACCCCTCGCTAGGTCACCGGTGAAGCGGCTGAGGATTGAGTCTGACGTGTCTGGGCATTGGAAACTAATAAACCCCAAAAAGAGGGAACAGCAATTCTGAAGGCTATTTAAGGTAGGATTTTACGAACTTATATCTTTTTGGGGGTTGCTATACCCTTCAGTTTTTGTTTTTGAACTGGCAAACTTGCAGTTTAAACCAATCTAACATAAACTTTACGCAATTAAACATAGATTTGACCAATTTGTTATGTAAATAAATGTGAACAAACATTGCAGTTTCCACCTGCTGTCTTTAATGAACCAGATAATGAAGGATCAATGAACCAGATAATGCAGGAAAATGTCAGAGTCCTACCAGAAACAGTTAAAACTAATTAATGTATATAAACGTATATATATAACATATTTATAAATTATATATAATATACAATGGGTATGTACGGGTGCGGTTAGTCACCCATGCAAGAAGCATAGTGGACAAAACTGGGCTGAGACACGCCCACGACATGTCAGATACTGTATAATGTGTTTGTTTTTAATGTTTTGTTTTTCTATGTTTGTGCATGGTTTGTAGAATTACCCTTTGGTAGACTTAGACTCAGGTGTGGAAAGTCACTATTTACAATTGACAATAAGTACATGAAATATAAATTGACCGTTTTCAATAACTATGTTGAATTATAGGAGGGTGCCTCTTTCAGGTCTCACAATTGTATGGTCGGAAAAATGATGGCGAACCATTGGACTTTGGGTTACGCCATTTGGCAGGGACGTGCCGCCAACCAGCAGACACGCCCAGGGAAACTAACGAGAATACGTGTCCCATCCTTCATGTTCCCCCCAAAATCCACAAATCAGTACGAATGGTTGGTATGGATGAGATCCTGGATACAGCCTCAGAATCTTTAGATTGTTGTTTATTTGGACAAGAAAAATATCGAAAACTGCTTTGAGACATATGACTCAGCTAAGGGTTGTCAACTTGTCATGTTACAATGTTTCCCCAAAATCCGATGGTCGGCTGATCCATTGATACCAAAAAGTTGCCTCCTGGTTGATTGAAGTCGATTGGCTAAGGAGTAAGGAGCAAAAACCAGCTAGTTTTGGGGGATGAACTAACCGTTACTAACCCATTTTTTATGGGAAAGCTATCAACCAACTAGCATTTCATGACATGGGATAAGGGTATTTAAAAATGGATGTGTATTGTGGCTGGCATTGACACACTAGCCACAGTGAGGAGGGCACCATGCTCAGTGGACTGCTGGATCATCTGGATCATGCCCATAGATGTCTCAAATTCCCTCGGCTTAATTCATGGAAGGCAACTCCCACTATTTCACAACCAAAAGGTGACGATGGGTAAATGATGCATGATGGGATCAACAATTCTAAGAACATAAGCCGGATTATCCAAACAAGGTATACTATATATATACATGTCAGAGTTTTGGATTCGCGACCTACAAATTCGTAGGTTCAAGGCTCCCAAGGTATATATATACACATAATATATATATATATATATACATGTACGTCCAACTGTGGCCCAACAATCACCCAGTCACCTTAGTCACGGGACCTCACTGGTCGATGTCCCAATGCTATATATATATATAAACCCATCAGATCTCTCAAAAAGCTTGGTGAATCACTAGAGTTGACATCATATTTCCAAAACTTACCCAGAGTGATGCAATTTGCCCAGACATTTTGTTGGTTCAAACAGGCTAGCTGGCTAAGGACGCAACCCATATGAAGGGGCCCTCGGTCCCGTCATGATATGGTATTCCTCCATGTTCCTCCTAAATGTTGATTGTATCTCATGTATTAGGGATTGATATGCGTTTTGTTTTCCTATTTTGTTACCATTATCCGCAACTCAGTGTTAAGTCATCCCAATATAATCAAGGGCGCAGGTAGGCCCCTTGGCCCAGTTGTAAATTGGTTCGTAGCCCCATCTAAGATCCAAGATCGTATAGATTTATCCACCATAAATCCATCCGTTCGTCAGGTTAGAAACCAACTTATCCAGGGTTCCACAATTTGCCAGGAGAATCATGAGGCCGCTGACAGCCCCAGCCAGGCTGGACAGCGAGTGACCCTTGAGTAGTTTGATACTTTCATTGATATATTCCAACATCTGTTGCCAGGATGGACGTAGTTTCTTTCAGCAGCTCAAACAACACATGTGACACACTTCAAGGAAACCCAAAATAGATGATTTATTTTGTCAGGATTGTTTTTTGGTATAGATGACCATCATTTCGAGGGAGTGAACTTCTCGGATCCCAATAAAGATTGGTAAATGAATGGTGCATTTCACAATATGGGGGTGCCCTCAAAAAAGGCTATGCCCTGAAATGTTGTTAAATTCTCAGTTTGGCAAAGTCATTATTAGCAGTTTCTTACAGGGAATTCCGGAAGAAAAAACACATGTTTTTCGCTGATTAGCCCATGGAGTGGGTCTTATCTTTTTGCAGCAGTGGGGCTGGAACCAATCCATGGCATTTTGAGGGACCCATCCCAAAAACCCCAATCACATTCCATGAGATTCCCAGAGTCCTACCATTGGGCGTTCCGAAATATGCCATTGAATGCAATCCATCCGCGGAAAGGCACATGGATACATGGGTCAAAAGTCAAGCAGGATCTAAGCTCATTGTACTTGCAGTGTTGGCTTCCAGTTATATACTGGTTGGTGGTTTGGATCATTTTTTATGTTCCATTTCATATATGGGATGTCATCCTTCCCATTGACTCACGCACTCATATTTTTCAAGATGGTTATTGCACCACCAACCAGTATATGTCTGTTGGTATAAGATGGTTTAATACTACCATCTACTAGTTGGATTGCTGACTTAGCATCCGGGGAATCACCTTCTGGATCCTTCTGGTGGTTGTACACTGGTACTGTCAAAGTATCTTGTTTGCTCTCCATGCGGGTATGGGTCAAAATATGCAGACAAAATTTGGATGTACTCCCAAAAGTATTTGTAATTCTCCTGGCCATTCGATCATGTCAAAACCCAATATGTCCAGTAGTTATCTTATGTATCCTATTCTATAAATATATCAGTTTCATCCCTGTGTTCCCCGGGCAATCACAGCGAGATCACTGGCCGATCTCACCATATATCATGTTTTTTATCGGAGGAATCATCCGATATTCATGGTGTCAGGAGTTTTTTTTGGTTCGGAAATACTTTTTTTGCTCAGAATAGAAGCCTGACCAAAGCAATCATATACCCTCTGGTAAACTAACATAGCTATTGAAAATGGCCATAGAAATAGTGGATTTACCCATCAAACATGGTGATGTTCCATAGTTTTTTGTTAGTTTACCAGGCCGGGTACCAACCATGTACACAAAGCAAAAAATGGTCTGTTACTGGGTAGGTGAATCGAAGCCTTGGACGCCCCCAACCTCCATAGGATATGTTGCCATTTCTGTCGGCTAAGTCCGTATTGTACTTGATACCCCAAAAAGCATCTCCATGCATAATATACACGACATTATCCCAATGTTTTGTTTGGTGTAGGTTCAATCCCGTTTTTTGTTGGTTGAATCATTGTTTGCCTTGCTTAAATCATCGTTTTGTTGGTTAACCATTGTTGATGTATTTTTGCTGTTGCTTCAAGCAAACCTTTGTTGTTAAATCACACTGTGTACTGATCATATTATATACAGTGTTTATGATTTTAGTATAGACATCCCAAATGTCTTTTCCACCATCTGTTGGTTTCCCGAGGCAGAGCGAATTGATCGACCTGAACGAGCATCCCCTAAACGCAATAGCCTGATGAAGCTTGGTTTTTGTTTTTGAGAAAAAGCTTTGGAGTTTTATGTTTGCTTGTAGCACTAGTAGCACCCCACAAAGGTCCATGCCAAAAATACATGAACATTGAACATACCTTGGGGATCCTTGGGGAAAAAACATCACGGAACATCATGAAACTACCATCTTGGAAACACGTGTCTCTTTGTTTGGATACTTGTTACTGTTTGTATGTGATATGGGTCAAACTTGGGTACCCCTAAAAATGTCAATGGATGGTGAGTACGATACACAATGACCATAGACCCAATTCTGTGGTCCCCTGGGTCGAAGAATAATGACCATTCGTGACTATCATCGCATATCCATATACCCGGGGGATCTAATCATCTCCGTTTCAGATGGTATTTCAAGGCCAAAATAATTGGTTTCATACCCCTACTGTAATCAGATTGGAACTTAATATGGGATCCCCAGAGAGATCAGAGAAACTTTACACAAGAGTGCCCCCCGGGATATGTTAGTTTTTTCCTAATTTCCCAACCCGGGGCGGATGATGCGGGTCTCGTTACTTTCGGGTTACTATAATATGTAGGGTTGGTTTCGGGTTGATTTGGCTTGGGCTGAGGTGTTCTTTTGAGGCATTTTGAGGCTGAAGGATTCTGAAAGATTCTGAAAGGCTTCTACCTCGAAACACGGCCTCGGGGCCTCTCAACATGTCAGCATATTGTCAGCCCTGTAGCGAGTAGTTTTGGAACCCAATCGAATCGAAGTATAGATATCACCTGGTTTTTTTTTGAACCGGGCCCTATCTAGGCCCTGGCGCCCTTCCGGAAAGTTTGGGTCGGATTCTTATGTCATGGGTAACTGGCCATAACTGGCCATAACCATCTAAGAATCTAAGAATCGAAGCGGTGAATGCTATGTTTCAATTAGGGCGAAGAACTTGGTGAATGGTCGATTAGCAGGGATTGAAGCGCAGCAGAAACATGGGATAATTCCACCATAAATGGAGAGATCAACGGAATTCGAACACCAAACATCCGATTATACATTTGAGTCAAACCGTAGTGAATGGTCAAAAATCGGCAGTGGTTGTGCTATGATGAGAATTATGGCCTGTATAGACAACCTGTTTGCAGTGTATCCAGGATTAGTCATGAGATTGGTTATGGTTATTCAAGACTGGGCAAACTTAGAGAGGTGGTTAGTGAATCGTCTTTGCTTTGATTTTCCCTAGTGCGATTCATAAAACAATCTGTCCAGTTGCTTTGGTTCTACGTATATATTTGGGTCAATTATGTTTGCTTAAATCTCTCTTACGTCAAATTTCCTTTCTTTGGTTGCTTCAACCAGCATCTTCGAGAGTGAAGGTTTTGCTGGTTGTATCGAAAAGGTTCGCTGTGACATGATCGGTGCCTCTGAGTATATAATAAACATCAGGAAGTCATGTAATGTGGGCTCCCAAGATACTTGTAGCTAAGTTGGTTTATAACTAGGTTGACTGTTGGATTTATGACCTAGTCGCTCTACAATGTTAAACAAAAAACTGCCTACGAGGTCCCTTCCTGTAGATTTATCTTTTGCTATTAACCAGTAACCAGAGATTTGTTCAGCCCAGCTGTCTTTTTGCCCGCGAAATGGGTTGGTGTCATGAACTTCCAAGGAATTGGGGTTTACCTGCCCGCAGTTCCCAACAATTCATGTCAGTAGTGTTCAAAACCAGGGACCAGGGTTGGTCGATGGTTATAGTTGTAGGATGCTTTGCTGTCCAATATGTTGGATATCATCTTCATCCATAAATGGATTCCCTAAAAAACTCAACCAGGTATAGAATGGGCTGGATAATTTTGAACACTGCTCATATGAAGCGGTAAATCACAGCCATATTTTTTGTTTTGCAGATTGTCAAGACACTTTGTATCCATTTCTTCCATGCATGGAATACTGACCCACATCAATCCTCAAAAAAGCACCCATTTGCAGTCTGTTTAGGCCAGCCACCCCACTTCAAGGGGGCCACTTGGCACTTGTCAGAGGTCTGCGAAGAGTGCCAACTCCGCGAAGTCGAAGGCCACAATTGCCTCCGTGGTGACTTGACTTAACTGATGGCTACGACAAAAAGGGGCCCTTTTCTTGGGCCGCAAGATAGCTAAGTCAGATAAGTTGCTTTGGATGTAGGTTGACTGCTTTTTGGATGTTTCTGGTATATCGAACTAGGTAACTACTTGCTGTAATGGTGGGTATAAAGCAACTTAACTATCATTCTAGTTGGGACATCTCCTTGCACAAACATACTACAACGTGGTGCCTTGCATCTTGTCAGTTTTGTTTGTTGCATAAGCCCCATTAAACCCAACACTTGAGCTGCTTATCACTGGAAAACAAAATCGGCCTCGCAACAAGGTCACCCTAGTTTTAATAGAAACAAAGCATGCGAATCATCCCAAACTGAGCTTAACCCGGTGGGATGGCTAACCCGCTGGGATGTTGTGACAAAAATCCCCGCTGATGTGACGGTCCCATACGGTGTTAATGTCCCCAAAATAACCATTTGATTGGGGGTTATGATCATCAGCCGTCAAATTGTTGGGCAAGCTATTTTCAGACAAATCCATTTGCCTTGATACAACCAACAAGATTGGGGCGAAAACAATCATTAAAATCTGGATTTGAGCAGAACAATGGCGAACCTTAATGGATGGTTCGTCAGGACTTGACGACTGACGACTGTGTTGCTGTTTAGATTCCTGGGACAGTAATAGACATGCCATAGATTTCCGTGCCAGGCTTGAAATTCAACATATCTCTTGGAATAGAATACAACCATCAGGTTTTCTACGGGAGGGTAGTTGGGGAATCAGGGTTTCAAATTGTTTACATCCACTAGAAATCATCCTGCAAACAAGATGTGGTTTCTCCCAATTTTTGCTGTTGATTTGGATGTGTTTTCTACGTATGCTTCGGGAATGAATATGAACCTGGCGAAATCAGTTTGACCCATTTGATGGTTCGGAAGAGGCTAAAGCATGCTAAAGTATGGTTTATCCAGAAATTGGTAGACAAAATCGCCGTCAAATTCACTGGGGAGATCATCCTCCCAGTGAATTTCTGGACGCGGCAAGGCAAGTGCACTCAGCAGTATGACCAGTTTGGCTGAAGCAGGAATGGCTTTTGAGCTACCTGACCGGTAAGTTTGGGGCAATCTGCTTGGATGTGTAGCCAGTTTAGCAATCGGCCAGCAATCCAAATGTGTGTGTGTATATTATAAATATATTATAATATAATATAATATAATATAATGTAATATAATATAATATAATATAATATATATTGATTATAATATTAATTATAATATAATATATAATAATATATATATATTATTATAAATTATATTATATATTATATATTATATATAGTATATATAGTATACATATTATATATATTATATATTATATTATATATATAGATATATACTATATATTATATTATATATATATGGTCTCGTGTTCCGTGTTCCTACCCCCCCAATGGTCTGGCATGGGTCTACCAGCCCTTGGGTCCTGTTTTGAGAATTATTGGATTTTAAGCACCCACAGTTTGATGGGACATCGAAAGTCTTTACCAATAAAATGGGAATAGTTGGGTCTTCCCTTGATATAAAGCTTGTTGAATGCACTTATGGTTTTCCTTTGCTGGGCTTGGTAAAGCCATCCTGTGCGGATGCTTCACCAGCAAAATTTGGATTTCGTTAAGCAATCAAGATGGGGACGAAAGAAAACACACCTACTGTATATAATATGTGGAGTTTAGCGGAGATGAACATGTGAGGAGCTCCCCTGGGGCCATGGTTTTGTGTCGGCAAAGATTGCCACCTTCCTGATTTGGAAACTCTAGACACCCCAGAGTGGATGAGTCAATAGTACCCAGTAAACCAGCTAGTACAAGCCCTCAGCTGACCATCAACCAATCATCATTTAGGGGTTTTGTCATGTTTTGTCCTCACTTTTGTAAAGTAGCACCTCATGTATGTTTCTACAAATGTGGATGTTTACCGGCTACAACCAATGTTTCACCATCCAGCACTAAGGATTGACTGGTCTTGTCCATATATCTACGGCATGGTCCGGTAGTTGAATGACTTACCCACATGTTGTATACTGTATTTGTATGTATATTTATATAGTTCTATGTATACAATGTCAATGTATAAGTATATGTAGATGTATATGTATATGTATATGTGCATGTAGATGTATATGTATATGTATATAGACATGTAGATGTAGATGTATATGTATATGTATATGTATATGTATATGTATATGTATATGTACATGTAGATGTATATGTATAAGTATATGTACATGTAGATGTATATGTATATGTGTATGTGTATGTATATGTATGTGTATATGTACATGTAGATGTATATGTATATGTGTATGTGTATGTATATGTATTTGTATACGTATATGTATATGTATATGTATATGTATTTGTATATGTAAATGTATACTGGATAAATGGATGAATGGACAAATGGACGAATGATAAAATGAAATAATGAACAATTACAAGGATGAACAAATGAAATGATTCAAAAAGGAATGAGTAAAAAAAAGAAGCAATGAAGGAATTTGGTCCTTAACTTGGAAGATTCTTTGAAGGGCTCGTTTGCGGAAGACGGGTGTGGTGAAGTTCGAACAGCGGATGCGACGAAATGAGAGCACGTTTTCCAGAACGAAGACATGACACAATGAACCTGTGAATGAGTGATTGGGCGCATGAATAAGGGAATTACCCTCTGGTTATTTAACATAGCCATGGAAAATCACCATTTTTAATAGGTAAACCATCTATTTCTATGGGACATTTTCCATGGCTATGTTAAATAACAAGATGGTAATGAATGTGTGACTGATATTGTTTATACACCGCTGTGATGCCCATTCCTATTGGTTGAACCCCCATGTTTGTTGCATAATATATCCGATTGTTAAAAAAACACCAGATATACTGATATAAGTTGTTTACATTTGTATGTATCCGATCATATGTGTGATGGGAAATGTATCAGATATGTTGGTCCCATTATTTAAACGTGCTATATATACAGTGGGATTCTTTAAATCCCTCCACTGGATTTTTAAGAAACCCTTATTGGTGCTTGTTGGTCGTCAAAAACACTTCACAATCCCATTTATCTTCAGAGAGGTGCGTTTGAGGAGCATCGTCGGAGGGGCTGTACTAGCCAAGGTATTCGTGATCGTCACAAGCCAAAATAGAATTTTCCCGTGAACCACAATTATTTTCATTTTTGTCTAATAGGTCCAACTGACAATTCTCAGTCAATCAGAAGTGGGAATGCTATACTCAAGTTACATCCATATACGTTTTGTTTTTTACATGTCATATACATATTGTATGTATTTCTATGCATACATGTTTTATAACCCAGTTATGTGTGGGCTACACACAGTTCTGCGTGGGTTACTGTATGTATATTATATATATAATTATACATAATGTATAATACATATGTATACATACGTATGTATATGGGCCATAAACCACTTTGACACTGCTCAATGTGTTTATTTCCTATATCCTGTTATACTATTTTCGATCTCATTATGTTTTTTGATATCATATAATCCAGTTATATCCAAGTATATTCAATTGTGTCCCCACGATTAGCAACCCCCAAAAAGATTAAAATTAGTAAAATTCCACCAAAGAAGTGATTAGTTTCGTTTCTTCCTGGTGGGGTACTTCAAAAAAACAATCATTTTCCAACTATATCCTATATCCCCATTATATCCCCACAATATCCCCGTAATTGTCTGTCAGATCCCCTATTATTCCCTAGGTTTCCCCTTTATTTCCAAGTAGATTCCATTATATCCTCCCAAAATAGTTAGACTTGATTTGCCATATGATTGAATTCCCTATTGCATCTCATTATTATGTTGAATTCTTCAGAATTATATCGCGTTATGTCCCTATTACCATCCTATACCTATGTATATATATATACATCATCTATTCTACTATTTTCCTCATCTTATAACACCCCATCAAATTACATGTCGACCGGTTTTTGGTCAATGTCTGAGGCACCACTTTTCCGTAAATGCCTCGCTGCGGCCAAAGTTTCCCGGCGGGCGGGGAGTTAATTTGTGGGATAAAGTTGCGGAAAAAATTGGGGTTGCTCCAACCCACCATAGGTAAATTATCGTTTTTGTTGGGAAAACACATTTATCTTTTTACCCACTTTATCTAGCCCAATTTGAGCCACGTTCAAAACCCAGTATACATTTTTGTTGGGGAGTGGCAATAAGGACCTCGCAGAAGCAAAACCCTGGTCCGTGTAAGCTCGCGTAAGCATCAGCGTAAGCTATTCCTGCGCGTAAGCTAAAACTGTGGATGTGTACGCAGCGCGTAAGCATTCCCTTAGCGCCTCCAGAAAGACAAGACCTTTTGGCCACGGCTCATTTGACTTTTCTGTTTATTGTATTTGTTTGGGAGCTGCTAAATTGGTCTGCCTTTCAAATGTCCAATCATTCTGCAATGTTGTCGCGCTGATCGGAGCAAGTTGACGGAGGGGTGCCACGAGTGATTTCAATTTCCTGATATCGGGACACCTTACACGTAAGTGGTCGAAGAAACATAAGGGATGTGAACTGAAAACATATCATGTAATTTTAACCCTAAAAGCATGTTTGTGAACTGATAGAAACCGCGAATGCCAGCCCAAATCTGGTTTGAAAATTGGGTACCCTCTGGTAAACTGACCTAACCTGGACCTAACTATGGAAAATCACTATGTTCAATGGGAAAATCCACTATAAATGGCCATTTTCAATAGCTATGTTAAATTACCAGAGGGTACCCCTATCAGTCCATTTCTTCCAAACGAAGTTTCGCCCGAGGATCGCCACGATTGGAGGACAGAAGAGGAAGTCGAAAAAAATGGCATGGATTGGAGAAGGGCGAGAAAGTGCTGCGAGTGTCGCAACGACCAGTGCCTTGGGCCAAAAAAAAAAGCGGCCACAGCTTTGATGACATGATTCTTGGTTTATATGATATCCCAAGATTAACAAAATTCGATAACGCAGTTTTAATAATGACAATAATTTAAGAGGGTAGGCAAATCGGCAAATGGTAAGATTGCGTTTTTTTGCTGCAATTCTGAGTTGAGAGTAGGACAAACCAGTTCTCATTCTTTCCGGAGGGAATCACAGACTTA